TAAATTTGAAAAGCAATAAAATAATCATCAATGATTAAAAACACTAAATTTCACTAATCACTACATTTTATTATTTTATAGAAAATATTTATAATCTAAAGTTATGTTGATTTACAAATAAAATGCATTTTGTTTTCTTAATGATCTAATTTCTATAACGCGTTAAACTTGTTCCTGGTCAATCAATGGAAATGAATACAATCTATCGTTTTTAGTCATTTTTCTTATGTGAAAATTTTAATCGTCATATGTACAATGAATTTAAACAATATACTGTTGAAGATACTAAAACTGATCATCGGCATATAAATGAATTGTTTTTATGAAAAATAATAAGAAAAAAATTGAATATTATTATTTATGTATAGATATGGTGTTGAATGTCTATTTCGATTTTATACATATGGTATAGAAAAACATTTTCAACAAGAAACTCTCTGTGATCATGAAGCTGGTAATAAAATAGATTACACAAGAAAAAAAAAGAAAAGTGTCAACAACAAAAATAATTTTTCTATTTAGGTCAATTATATGGTTTAGAAAAATTCTGAGCATTTTAAAAATATTCTCGAGAAAAACCAAAAATCAATTCAAAACTTGAAGATATTTTAAAAAACTGTAGAAATCTTGAAGATTTTCGTGTTGATGGTGCATCATTTCCACAACAATTTTTTCCAACAAAATCAAATTATAGTAATTGAAAAACATTGTTTTTTTTTCTATTATATAAATAATTTCTTTATAGACTGTTCCAGCATCCGAAGCAATTTAAATTCATTAAAATCCAATGGTGAACAATATCTGAACGATGCTAAACTTTATACACGTTTTGTTTTTCTTTTATTTTGTCTAAAATAAAAAAACGGTGCTCACATTTTTCCAAGTGGATTTCGATTTATTTAAAAGTATGCATGTATTTTTTTTTGTTTTCAAAGTTTATTGTTATTTAATCTTTTTCTATGTATATATTACATTGGTTTGTTATTGTAGTAGATAGATAGATTAAATAGTGATGCATTTTCTTTTTCTATTGATAGAGATATGAAGAATTTTCGTATAGTTTCGTTTTGTTTTTTGAAACTATTTGCTAATAAAAACAAAACAACTAAACAAATTTAATTTGATTATAATTATGCATGTTTTTCTTTTAGAAGAAAAAAAAA